TTGTCGTGCCTCGCCTTCCATAGTTTCGTTAAACCTCCAAAGAAAATCTCAAGTATGTTTCCTTTGCGGTTAGTTGAATGAGTAAGGTCGAGGCATACGTGCCTGTAGTTTGAGTTGAGCATCATTGGTTGCGTTAGCGAAATTTTCTCATCAAACGAGTCCTCTTACTACGACAGGAACTTAACTAGTCTGTCAGCGTCATTTTGTCCGCCCATTGTAACCCAAACTCCTTCTTCTGTTTTCAGACGCTTAACGTTATCTGACATAAACCATCGCTCTTGATGTTATGCATTCCTGTATTGTGGCAGGAAAGTCTATCTTTAAGATTATTCTAGCTCCTGGATATGCTGCAATTATCTAATCATTGGCATGAATGTGTAGATAACGTGGCAGTAGTTTTGAAATGGGTGTGTCACCTTCATCGTTATCATTCATTTGCGTATTTGCAACTCCAGTCTATCTCGTGTCGCGATTAAAATTGCTTGATGGGGACTATTTCACTAAAGGTAATTGCACAACGGACTCCGTGTTCTAGATTCACTAGACTATGGGCTGGTCGGCATTGATGCAATTTTGAGGCTAGCAAAACGGTAACACCCGACTAATGTAATGTGGTTCTAATGGAGGTGTTTACTCATTATCAGCTTGATGCGAGTTGTGAATTTTCCAATGCATTATATTATGGAACTTTTACTTTAGTTTGTGTTTATTGTTTGTTGACGACTTGGTAAAACTACTGATAGATCAAAGTTAGTGTCAGATCAAAACAGCACCACGAAGTGTAAACCAACGAAGTGGTCTGGTTGCCGAAAAAGTGACCAACTAATGGGAAAAAGTGTAGACCATCTCGAGAAGTTGACTTAAAACAGGTGTTTTCGGCCTTAATCAGGGATTTTCAATTCGAGTGTGGAGATGGCGTTTTTGACGGCCTGCCATTCACTAAGATCACAAGGGTTTGTGAACTGAATATTGGAGATTGGAAAGGTCTGCTTGTCAATCCATGATTTTAATCCATTGTTTATCCTAGTCAATCACTCATTCACTAATGCGATAAATAAGCCATTTGCATTGGCTTATGTCAACTCCACATATATTGGCAAACAACAGTCATGATAGCTGGGCTCTGTGAAAATACAAGTTAAATTCTTTCCTGTGGCTGTCAATTCAAGATAGCTTCACAGCGTCCCGGTTCACCCATGTAGCTGTAATGAGGTATCCTATCACCCAAGACTGGTGCCCTATTAACGCACCAAAGAGTTGGTAGTTGTGAGTGAAGCCATAGGATCGTAGTATAGGGATGATAAAACTCATCTACGGGAACTGAAGAGTCTGCCCGGGTGAATACGCAGTCACAACTTTATAAATGCGTGCAGTAGATAGGACTTTAACCATTTCCGACGAATATTCAAGTAAAACTCCGACTTTTGAGTTTACATTAGACAGAAAAGAATAAATTTCAAGTAGTGTAAACTGATTTTATCTTTTAACACACCTCAACCACTACTTTCAATACCTGGCCGTTTACTCCTAAGCAGTGAAGCATCCCATTACTGTACCGAATTGAGCTTAAAAACCTCCTGTGAATTGGTTTCCTACACAAGTTTCTTTTCACAACGAAGCTTTGGCCACCACTCATGTTGCCCTAGATTATGTATGCAAATGCCACTGTTGGCCGACATCTTGATTAGCAGTGGCTGGACCCGGTTGACCCACGAAGTGTGCGCTGCCTGTTGTTACACCCAAGACTGACGTACTTGTCACCCGCTGTTGTTTGTTTTGACGCCACGGTGCCATTCCCTTTACAAGCATTTGAAAGTAAAATTTCCGGTTTAACCCCTGGCTGGACGCTGGTCGTCTGTGTTACTAAGGCGGGTCTGATACTACTTACTTTATGGTGTCCTCTTAAGGTGCAAGAAGGTGGGCGAGTACACGCTACATCCATGGGTCACCCAGTTCTGCAATAACATGACTCGCGACAATCAGACGACCGCAGTCACCGTGCCCGACGTCGTGCCGACGGACATTCCAGCAGGCGTGCAATTCTCCATGGTTGCCGGCGATTTTGTCGAAGTCTACTCGGAGCCTGGTGAGAGTCCTTCCTTTTTCCTTTGGTAGATAGATCCTCTTTTGATTGTTCGCCTTTTTCTTCCGTCAGAGTCGTGGGACTGTGTGGCGACAGTCTACTTCATCGATACGGCGCACAACATTTTGGACTATTTGGACACGATATGGAGGATACTGGTGCCCGGTGGCTATTGGGTTAACTTTGGTCCGTTGAGGCATTTTAATTTTATCTGTTGGCTGAGTTTCCGTGTGAATGCTGCTACACATTCGACTGTTCCCTTCTCTCCTTGTAGGTCCTCTCCTCTACCACTTCGCGGATGTTCCTGGACAGGACTCAATTGAACTGAGCTACGAGGAATTGAGAAAAGCGATTCAACTCATGGGCTTCGAGTTTGTGGTAGGTGTTCTTGATGCTCAAAGTACTGCAAAATTCCCATTCTGGGAGACGACTGTCTCTAGTGGCCTAAACATTGCTTGCTTTCAAAACTGATTCAGATTACTACCTCAAGCTTGGTTGGTGATTTGTATCCTGTCTAGTTTGAGAGCTTTCGACAGATCCTAACTTTGAAACTTCATTATTTCGTTACCTGCAGAGGTTGAGCCACTCCTGAGACACACCTATCCAGAAGCGGCTTTTTGTAAGTATGCGGAAGGGTTGAATGCAGATATGATGAGCTTAATGCCGCTGTAATAAGTAAGACAAGTGTTATTTCTGCTACACAGCCTCATCGTCAGGGGCGTCGTCTGCAGGACTCCTCGTGGTCACGCTCCTGCTTCGACCATCGTCAGCTTTGGACCGCATCGCTGAAGGAGTAGTTCCACTTTAGAATTGTTGTTAGGGTATGAACAGTGTTTGGCAGCTATGACACTCCATTTGTCAATCACTTCCTGTAGGAACACTTGCTTAAAGGTAGCACGGGAAACGTTACTGCGTCCTTTATGGAATCTCCTCTATTCAAACTTGAATTCACCCTATTTCTGGCTACTATGCGACCACGCGATCGCAGCAGTTGTCAAAAGTCGTCGGCGTTTCAAAGGTCCTTCTGTTGTGGAGCTCTACAACCTCAGTCATCTGGGACGTTTTATCGTGGCATTCAGGCAGCCAACGAAATCAGGATCGGAATCGCCTGACACTACCTCCATTGTATAGTTCCGAGTCATTCCTGGGGGCGTTATAAGGTACATCAGTACAGAGACCGCCTTATAAACGTGGGGAGCGCATCGTGGAAGACTGAAAAGACTGGCGCCGTCAACTATGCAGTCAAGAACAATATCACCCAAGGGCCAAACTAACTTAGCAAATTGCAAAAAATTAGAAATTTTTTTGTAGAGGTGATGGTGTGGTTGACTGACAGGAGGTTTTAGTCTCTGTCTAATCACAAATGAATCTACCACGCATTATGTAGATGATGGACCCGATCTGGTCTGTGGTCAAACCGTTGGCGGATGCTGATGAGCCTGTCCGTAAACTAGATGCAGAAGGCTTGTATTTGCGGGTCGGTGTTTTTAAAATTCAGATGTGAAATGCATCAAAGGAAAAGGAACAGGACTTTGCCACACATGGGCTACTAAGAGCAGTTGTTTCAGGCGCGTAAACTTTAACCCCCGCTGACACGAGGCCTTGGTTGACGATCTTAAATTGCCTCCAGCATCTAGGTGGTTGTAAACCAGGCCTCCGAGAAATGAAGGAAGGGCTCCTAACGTGAATCACGCCAACAGTAGAATAGTGATGATTCCTGGGATTCTTATGGTCAGTAAATTACGTGTGTCTGGTGGGTGGCTGGACACCTGCAGCCAAAGAATAGGCAACCCCTTGAACGTTTGTTCCCAATGTCTGACCCACTATCTTGAGGGTGGATAACTGCGAGGTGGTGCAGTGTCACATATGCGTGACGTGCTGATTCCTCCTTCCCGTAATGGCGTTGCAGCTGTTTTTTGTCTTGCATTTAGTGTACAAATCTTTCTCTGTTGTCCTTATTTTTTTTGTTTAATTCGTAGAAAGAGGAGGTTAAGATACCCTCAACATTCACACAGGATCCGAACTCCATGCTGCACTACCACTACAAATGCGTTCTCAATGTCCTTCGAAAACCTCTCAATGCAGAAAAATAAGTAAAGCTGTTCCATTTTTGTGTAAAACAGAAAAATGAAACTATTTTTTCCATCATATTTTGTGCTTTTGTCATGGCGAGTTGGGAGGAGAGAAGTTTGAATCTCCCGAGGTCATAATTGGAGTGAGGTGGCTGTTTTCGGTCGAGGTCTATGTTTCCTTGTAAGTAACCATTAAGTTTTCTCGACCTTTGAGCTCAATACCTCTGGGGTGCGATCACCGTCCTTTGGGTTATTGTCTTGCTTGAGACAGCTGGCATGCCCGCTACCAGCTCGGGAAAGTTGACCACCACAGTCCTGGTGACGTTTTGCTACCAAATTCCCGCTCTCGCAGTAGGCACGTCACAACCGTTTTTGTTTGTCGAGCTCGGGAAATCCGTTTATGGCACGTAATTTGATGCATCCAGACCTCAAAAACCGATAAATACGCGTCACCTAGTTTTGACGCCGGGCTTAGATGAAAAAATCGTGGCAGCGACATACGCGACCCTAGGTTGCTATTGCTGAACCACCTACTTTTGCGAGTAGCATCACGCAGTTTGTTAGTCCCACTGTCCTCCTTCACCTCCAGGTCTGCATTCTGAAAGTGTAAAAAGCTGCCAGACCGCTTCCTCCGTCGTCTTGATGACAAGATGCCTACGAAAGCGGGAAGTAAAGCGAGCCTGAATTTGAAACCGGTGCTTTTAAATGCATTGCAAATAGAAAAAAGTGGAAATTGGGGGAAGTTTAAAAGAGAAAAATTCAGTAGATTCGATGATGTAACTTGTGCGCCCACACAACCGTCGTTGTCTAATCGATTAGGTGGCACCCGAGATTACGTTGACTATCCGCTTGCCGTAAAAGTCGGTTCCGTTGGTGAGATCCTTAAACGATCCGGCAATCCTCATCTATCTATAACAGTCTAACTTCAAGCTTGTAGGAAGCCTCACCCACTATATAATTGACTGAAACGAAGACGAGCTGACTCCTCAATGGTGTGGAAGTAACTTCAAATCTAATGTTCATGGCATGACACGCTCAAAGGCTCAAAACCTTTATGAACACGACGGTAGCGACGTTGCCTGTCACCATAGTCATGCGCTTCACCCCTTCGGATAGCTTTGGTCAATCACGTGCCCAGGATAAGAAGGTAGTAAACGGCATAATAGGACGAATTCAAAATGTCATACAACACCAAGGGCAGCCTCTCCCTCATGAAGGTTGTGAGTGTCCAATCCGCCAGCATCAGGTGCATGAGTCTGAGTAGCGTGGTTTCCGCCTGACTCAAAGAGCTTTAATCTCTTTAGTATAAATGCAACAACTACAGCACCAACTGCTTTCAAAGTTTATAATGAACCTAACCCGTGTCAAGGACCGGTGCAGATCGTCGAATTGACACCCACTGGCACTCCACTCTTTAGAACGCAAGCAGTAAAGCAACAGGATTTGAACAAAAAATTACAAGACTTGATTGTAACAAAAAATATGCTCCTGATTTAAAAGTAGGAAATATGTGTAGCATAGGGGAGGTACGTACCACTTCACTTAAAAATAAGGTTAGTTTGTTTAATGAACACAATGATAATGGGATAGAATATGACCTGAAGAAGTAACTATGCTGTAGCGTCCTGAGACCTCCCTGAAGACAAAAGGAGCGATAACAGTCGAGCAGATTACATAAGTCCAACACAGAGAAGGCGCGACCTACCAGCATGGCTCAACCGGCGTTGAACAATGGCCGAGTCAAAAGTCGCTACCTACCACAACAGAGAGTTGAACAACCACTGAATTTCAATATCATTGACGGTTAGCGCACATGGCAGTTAGGACTCCATACTATAAAAAACCATCATTGCTTAATAAGAATGCAGTAATTTGTGTTTTTAAAATATCCTTTATAGGAACAGGAAAATTACCAATAGTAATCCTTAAGATTAGCATTTATTTATTCAATACATAAGTGTATTTTGCAGCCAATTTCTATGATACATGTCTTAATAACTGGATCACTGTTGCAGGATCCCAAGTACACAAAGCAAAAGTGGCTGGGTTCCCGGAACTAATCTCGACTGTTCAAAAGCCATGCTTTAAAAAGCATCCCTGCGTGTAAATGTTACTGAAGGAAACCTATATAAGCCGACATTTACTGAGTAAAGAGCATGAAAGAGTGTATAATGTCAGAGGCTTTCAGATTCTCACTTGTGCTTGTTAAACTAAAAAACTGTGGAAAATTTTTGCTACAGTTAACATGAAATTAAAAAACCTGCACACTTTTTTAACAAACCACTTAAATAACCTACTATCTTTAATATTTGCTATTTAACCCCGTCTTCTTGTTTGAAGTGATATGGCTTGCTAGGCAGTTTATTGGAACACGCTCTTCATCTTCCGAGATGTCTAGTTTAAAGCGGCTATTTGGTGCTCCTAAGAAGGCAGTTACCCAAGAGACAGCTGCAGAAGCATTGCAGACAGCGGAGGAGCAGCTAAATAAGAAGCAGCTTTTCTTGGAGAAGAAAATAAATGAAGAGATTGCCAAAGCCAAAAAATTTGGTTTGAAAAACAAACGTGGTAAGTAATCAGCAGGAATTTTACTTGTTCAGCTGCATTGGAATGTTTGAGAAAAAAGGCTTTGTATGAGAAGCAGTTGGAATTAAATGATGGTGCTCTCATGAAGCTCCAAGCTCAGCGCAATGCCCTTGATAGTGCATTGATGAATAAGAATATTCTGGACACAATGAAGACGGTCAACTCGGCTATGCGGGGCATTCATAAGGACATGTATGTTTTTTGGGGAATTCCATGCTTTCGCTTCTTAGGGACGTCGATAAGGTTCATGATTTAATGGACGATGTCAATGAGCAGCAGGATATTGCCAATGAAATTGCCGCCGCTATTTCCATGCCCACGGGCCCTGACCTAGTTGACGACGATGAACTTCTTCGCGAGCTGGAAGAGCTTGCAGTATGTCCTTTATGATATAAAGTCTACTCGGTAAACCGATTTTGCATATGTTCACACATTGTCGTCATGTATTTTTCCTTGTTTCGTTTACAGGAGGAAGATGTTGCTGAAAAGCTCCTCGACGTTCATAATGTTGACGAGCTTCCCTCCATCCCTGTTGGCGAACCTACTCGCTCTAAACCTAAGGGTAAGCTCCTTTTTCTATTCGAATTAGGCATGCCTGTGGGAAACGCAGACCACATTCATTAGGCGGGTGTTCCCCCATTATTACTTCAAAGCTTATTCTTTTAACGTGTACCGACGATGAATCTGCGCACATTAACATTTGGTGTGCATATTGAATTTCTCATGTGATGCCATTAGGCATCTAATGGCGTCAGCTATGCTATCTTGGTTTCACCACAATTACACCACTTTCCCACCCCTCGTGTATTTCAGCCTCGAAAAAAGCCGAGGAAGCTTCAGAATTAGCCAATTTGGAGATGTGGTCGGCGTGAGGATTCTTCTTCATTCAGGCAGATGTAATGACTGTTCGTCGGGGAAGCCCTCCTTCTTTCCACATGTGTATACGTCTTTTGTGCGAAAGTGGCGGCCTTTTTCCTTTACCATATGAATTATCTGCACCTTACCTCCTTCCCGACCTTCTTTTCAGTTTCTTGACAGTCCTTAATTATTAAACCAAAAAACGACGGTATTTTGTATGTTCATCCTCTGCTTTTTCCTCCTTGCCTGATGTGCGCATGTGTGTGTGTTTGCTCTACTCAGAATGATGTTTTGGCCTATTTTTTCTGCCTATTTTGCTGTCTTGTCGGGAGGAGAGGAGGTTGAGAGTACTTCTTTCTCCGTAATGGTCACCTAGGGTAATGGTAGACAAGCAAGGTTGAAGATTGAATAGTTCATTGGTTTTCTTTTCTGCCTGCTTTCAGTGTCCACTGTCGGCATTTACTCATCTGTCATATTAGTCCCCAGAGGTCTTCTATCGATTCCTAAGTTTTCTCGACCACACCCTGATTCTGCAGTAGGAGTCATCATTGGATTTTAGGAATAATTTTTGACGCAGTTACGTCTATTTAGCAAAGAACAGTGAGATCGTTTTACATTTAACAATACAATAATGGCGTGTAGTATTCGTCAATCGATTTGCATTCCTGATGTCAAAGGTCAAATGGAACTGCCGATTGTAGGTGATGGGAAGATGAGAGGCGTTTTCCTCAATTCGGGCTAGTGTGGAGTGACTTGCGTAATCTATGACATAAACTAATCATGCGACATCGGACCAGCTTCGTTCTTTTTGGCTCCTAGATGTTAGAGACTTGATAGACTAGGTGAGAACTATTCCATGAGGGGAAACATATAGTCCCGGCTGTTTGTGCTCATTGTTCCACTTAATTAGAGTACCTCCTGTGTTGCTAGGCTTCACTTAGGCCGAGATTATGGGTCGTTTTGATTGTAAAATGCAAGCTATCGTGGTGTACTTCATTTGATGCCCTTACTTCTGTGAGTCTACGGTGTCTGATGGCAGACCGTTGGTGCTCAATTTAGATTAGTTGGAGACTTTTCCTTTTACATCAACCCCTGATAGTCAAGCTTCTGCGTTATGACGCCCCCAACGAAGCTACCTGCAGTGAGATGAGTCCCTGAATAACTAAGGCATGATTTAGGTGGAGTCATATATTCGCGGCTTTTTGTCATGACGCGCCACCCACACTTATACAGTTATCCATTTTCAGACTGCCTTTTTAATGTGATTTGCTATCATGCTGCTATGGATATTCTGATTCATGACGGCATTAGCTAGTCGAGCTGGCGTTAATGTGATGTGACGTGATGTGGAATCGGCTTAGTTTCACTTCTTGTACTGCATTGTTTAACTTTTTTACCACTTACATTAGTGAGTACTGTGTTGTTTCACGTGCCCTTAAAGGCTCGTTTGGTTAGCCCATCAAATAATCTTTAAAAATCTCCTTCCTTTCCTACTCCTTCTCCTCCTCCACACACGGAAGCCTGGCTGAAAGGATGTATGGGGTAAGATTACAATAATACTGGCGGCATCTAATTGATGCTATGATCTGGTTTCGTTAGATACATTTTTTGTTGTAGTCATTTGTAATGATAACCGCTGACAAATTAAAAATATTTTTTTTTCCTGTGGAAAGTTTTGCAGGGTCATGGACCAAATGATCCAAGAGGCATCTGATGCGACCATTCTACTTGTCGAAGGCTTCAACGGAGGCTCGCACAAACAACTCATCTCTACCCTCGAGGGCTTACTGACTGAGAAAGGTAGGCCTTCGTTATTATCGTGATGCAGAAAAAAAGGCAGAAGGACAATTGTTGGAAGTGAAAGGAAATGCTAACGTCCCAACTTCTGGTTGGACATTGTTGTTAATTTTTCGGTCACGTGCCCTTAGGCAGGGTTCAACTAAGTACCCTCCCCCACATCTGTCCACTTTTCGATGAGCCAAGGGGCTAGGAACTATCGTAAATAATTCCCAGTTTACAGTGTCTATTTATTGTCTATATGATTGAATGCGGTAGATTTGAGGCAAGCCGAGCTAGCTCCTGTCGACGTACTTGGCTCTGGTATTCTCTAAACTGGTGAGGAAGCGTATTCAATGGAATGAGCCTCTAATTTTTTTTGCCATTGACAATGTTCTCATTATTTCCGATTTTTACAGCAAGGCGATAGTGATTCTTTTTTTAGCCTAAGCAGGAGTGAGTTGCATCAATCCCTATGCTGTTGGCCTCTTAATTCGTTGGCAAAATAGCCTGGCTGTTACATCACTTGATGGTTGCCTTAACAACGCATTCTCTCGAAGTGAATAGGCATCGGTATACACTTAGCATGGCTATAATTAGGCAAACAACTTGCTCTCATTGTAGTAGCCTTTAAAAGCCGCGCGACAGTGTCTATTTGCCAATTTCCCTTACCTATTGCTATATTCTGGGCTGCTATTTTATAATATTAGCTTATTTATAAATTACGAATGTGAACCTTGAGAATTTTGAAGGCCTATGAATCTTGCAAGTTGGTAAGATTGGAGGGACTGATTTGTGAAGCCTTCATTGGTCCTTATTGGTGTTGTTCCAGGAAGCAAACTTCCCAAATTCTACAATCTATTGTCCAAAAAATGACTTGTCTGGCAAAGTCGTTAGCTGGTTGAGTTATCACAGTGACGGTTTTCTGTTTGCGTTGCCATGGTGTTTATTTTGGAATTCCTCTCAGTATTCGCAATGTTGCTAGGGCGAAATCACTGACCTTGCATCCTGTCAAATGTTTTTGAATTTGGCTTATTCTCTAGTTGGGCTCAATGTCCACTGATTGTAGGTCGCTTACAGGGTATCAGTAGTATCTTCAACGAAGAGGCTATATTATTTCTGGAGTTTAAATAAACTTTCCTGAAACTACCAACCCAAAAACGTCTTTGCGGATTTGAATAATTGGAAATCCCGACTTAATCTGAATGAATCTTAAATTCCTAGCTTTTTATCTTGATATTTAAGCTTGAGTTTAAAATTTCCATAGTCTTTAAAACTCCAGTGATTTGACGTCCGTCTAGCTGTATGCTTAACTACCTGAACTCTTAACCTTCCGTAGTTTGTACTTACGTCTAGGTAGCCTAGTCTTCCCGCCATCCACATACTCTCTCAGCTCTTGCGTACAGTAGGGGTAAATTCTTTTACTAGCATGGCTTATTATAACTTCAAGGAAAAATTGCAGCGCTACAAGGCAACTTTGATCCCTTTCACGGAACCAACATCCATCATTCCTCACTGGGATGAGAAAATCGGGATGGTGAACGTGTTTGAGCTACGTGTGGGTCGATGGCTCTTCTCGGAAACCGTCAGCATGCATCGGTAAAATTCGATACCTTCAGGGAGACATTAGTTTTTCGGAGCTTGTTGCATTAGCGATTACACGGGAAAGGCACTACATCTGTTGTTTCTTGTTGGATCATCAGAAGAGTTTCGAACAAAGATACGGCGATTCCATTTAATTTGGTGCTTTTTGATCAGAGAAACGGTAGATCCCACCAGCCACTCTAATTGTCTTTTTTGATCAGGGGAAACGGTGTGCGTGGTATCCCTCCCTGCCAATAAGTGGCATTGGCGAGCTCGAACTGGAGCACTTGCGTTGGCAGCTCTGATTCCCAAAAGCAGTCGTGCTAACGGCGGTTTCCGCGTCCTCTTCACTTCCGCTGTCTTCTCTCTCCCGGAATTACTTGCGTTGAGACCCGATCTGGCAAGCATACCGCACAAGTACCTTTACTTTCACGAAAACCAACTGACCTATCCGTTGAGAGAGGGCGACAAAAATGCTGCAAAACCAGACTACCAGTTTGGGTGAGTTTATTTGGGGTGTTGTGGAATGTTTTACCACTCCTGGCGAATTTAAATGGATCTTGAGGCAATTAAAATAGCACGATACCAGTCCGTCTGAGTGGTTATGGTGTTTAAGGGCTTTTTAAATATCTTTTTAATTGTCATATCATTTGATGTGTGATGTCTTGGCTCTTGTTCATACTCTATTGTTTTTTCTTATTTCACGACCGAAGGAGGTATTCTGGAAGTGGGAGGTTGAAGACTACGTCAGTCAGGGGGCGGGTTAAGCACATCTATATCTGATCCAAGTTTTGCAAATTTTGTTTTATTTCAGCGTCTGCTAATTTTCAAGGGTTGCAAATAATTCTTCCTTGGTGTCCGCTTTCTGGTCATTCTTGATAGACCTCGATGTTGTGAAGGTCTTTTCTTCGTCCAAATTTCGTCATGAAAGTGTTAGTTTGGAAACTCCATCCAATGTGGTTTGATTAAATGGACTTGGTTCCAGCTAAATTGATACCCACATTCCATAGGGGTGGGGGTTAAAAGGCCTTATTTGCCGTCTACAACCCATTTGAGTCGACGGGACTGTAGCTGGTGAATTCTTTCCTTCATTAAAATAGGCTAACATCTAATCGCAATCCATGAGATTAACTCCTATCCAGGTGATCACTCCCCCGTTTCGTTCACACACCTGCTAGATTTGTTTCCTTGATAGGTGGCTTCCATTGAAGGCTTCATTGTAAAGTGAAGAGTTGGTTTGTACCTCCTCTGTGTCACTCGTACTGTTCACCGCTTTTTCGCATAGTTAACCCCGCAAATTGTTTGTGTGCGTGTGTAAACTATGGGTTTGCGATTCTGCTTAATTTTATGTGTGAAACGTAAGTGATAAATCAATTCGTGGGGTAGTGCTACTTACGACGTAGGTACACACTTAGATGCAATTTTACTGCTTCAAATTTAAGCATGCTACTGAATAACTTGTCAGTTTGTTATTAAGTAGGCACTATTTTTTGTACTCATTTGATCGAAACAAATAGGCTGAATAGGAGTGATATAATGCCTTAATTGCCTGAAAACTTGGTGTTACTCTATACAGTTGGGGAAATTGCAATTTTTTTCAAATAATCATCGTCAACTTCGGGACGACCTTCAAGACGGCCTCAGTCTTCAATCGCATCAACCGTAATTTTCCCCATAGCAGGCATTAACGAGTCCTGGATATGGCTTGTAGGTGGATAACCGTCTTAAAGACGCCTCATGCATGGTAGTAGGATACACTGATGCTGTAGTGCGTCAATACTTTCCTGAAACCGAAAGAAGATATAATGCTCGAACAGAATATCTGTTGCCGACGTACAGAAAGGCTTGGGGGCTATTGCCATTGTTTGGAGGCCAGGCCACTCGACGGAGGTACAATGCGGCGCCCTAAGTGGTCCATTACTAAAACTGAGAGTTAAACAACCAATTAGGGTATTAAAAGGCGTCCAGTTCAGGAGAACTAGAGGGTAGCGTGACTACGAGGGCTTTTCGACCATTCACTCTTGCGGCTGTGGGATTAAGAGTAGGACCGTAGTGAATCACACATGCTCAAATTTCCTGGTCCTGTGGTTTGAATATGCCTCTGCAATCACTAGATGTTGACTGCCTTTTTAATTGTGTAACTTTTGGGGAAAGAAGGATCGCAGCATATGACACTTATTTGCAGCCATCTTTGTAAATAAACTTGACAGTTTTGGCAAATCAAATCTCAAATCAACTGCTAGAAAGTGCTGATTTGATATTTTACTACCTCCTTTGGTGTCGTCGCTATAGAACGATGATAAATAAGCTCATCTTAATGTTTGAATTGCACAATAATTCTCGGCTATTTATACTCCAGAACCGAATTAAATATATTTTTCGAAAACAAGTACGAAAATCCTGACCCCTACCTTTTAGTGGAATTAAGGTGTTATCAGGAATGTAGTTTTACTATCTTAGGTGCACTTTTTATGCTGAACAGCAGTTGATAGGTGGATAGTTTGGGTAGTCAGATTTTAAGCATACAGAAGGGCTGAGAGATTGGCAGTGGCACCATTAACAGGGAGCTCCATGTCATCGGCGTAGTGACTCCATTGCAGGTGATTGAAAAGCCGTCTGTCACCCTGTCCTGTCGTCGGTAATCCTTATACTTGCTCTTCTTCCTCAATCGCCAAAATTCTCTTTTCTAGTGAATAGAGTTTCATATCCAACTTGGTCAATTAAACTAGTTTTACTTGGATATGGTCGTCTGGGTCAGTGCAGAATGTCCTGGGGTGGCTCAGGCGTGCTGAAAATCCTTCCTATATCGAATCTTTATAAGTGTTGTTTTAGTACTGGAATATATCTGAAATACCCATTATCTTTTCTAATCTCAAAGATGTCGACTTGCACACTCCTCGTGTCTTCTTTCTTCCTCCTTCAGCTATGTCCAAGTGCTCTCAGCCCTAGCAGCTGACCTGGTCCTCTTCAATTCTTCCTTCAATATGCACTCCTTCTATGAACGTCTGCCCGCTTTCCTCGCCGCAGGTTTGCCCACTCCACCAAGCCCTCGAGTGCCGGAGCCACGAGAGCTAGTGGAGAAACTTCTAAAGCCTAAATCTCGTGTCCTTCACTTCCTTGTTGAACCACCCCCACTCCCAGTGCTCTTTCATGGTGATGTGGAGGACTTTGAAGCTGCGATTCGCTTCCAAGCAGAGCGAATTAGGGCGAGAGGTCGAGCGCCGCTGAGGATTTTGTGGAATCATCGGTGAGTGAGATCTTTTGAATTGGTTTTTCGTATACCGGATTGTAAGAGGATTTTGAATTAACCATCCTCCTTTATTTTTGATCTCATTCATTCCACTAGAACAAAGATCAAGGTTTTACGATTCCTGTGGATTCTTTCCAGACCATTTTACTTCCATAGGCTTGAAGAAGACAGTACTTCGTATTTTCATATTTCCGGATTTATTTGTTCCGTATTAGGCTTGAGGAACTATAGCTCTGTTTCTCTAGGTGTTTGGAGGGAGGGTTGTGAAATCGTAAGGTATTTTCACAGGATTCTACAAGCCACCACTTTCTTTGTTTAACTATCACCCTGTTCAGGATTCTGGAATCTCATTTCCTTTAACAGGACTCTCGAATCAAGGATGTCGCTCTCTTGCGACCACTGCTAGGTCATTTTGTGCTATTTTTTGAATGTAAGGAGGTTAATCAAATATGGAGTGGCCGACTTATTAAGTAGGAATGATTTTGTGGTTCCGAAATCTCGGATATTATACCTTAGCTTCTCGAGCATTTGGATTTTTCAGTTTCGACGATATCCCGTCACCACTGCAAGCGCGGAACACCCTTTGAATGGTTGTAGTTTTTAGAATAAATCTTGTGAAACCATGGATATGTTGTAGATTCTTGTCGTGCTTGTCGAATGGGAGTTCGTTCCATCGTGGAACGGATCATTGCATTTTGAGATTTGGTGAGTGACTGACTACTGATTCCCCACCTCGCACTACTAGCACTCAATGGTGTAAGTGCAAGCTTTTCCATCTCAATAAACGATTCTAATAACTTGGGCCATAAATAATTTGGCCACATATCATGTAGGTGATAGGCCCGAGCTCAGGCTGAAAGGTTAGGCATTGAGCATTGAGCCATCTCACTGGCTCCATGCAGTCATTACTTCTCTTCTCCGTTAACTATTTACCCACCTGTCTGTTTACCCGTCCCATTTATCCAATCTCTCATTTAAAAGCACTGAATCTGGCGAAGTCGGTGCTGATAGCTGGACAAACGAAGAACAGCACTTTTTTGGCGTCCTTATTTCATTCAGTTTTAGAATTTTAAGGAAACTATGAAACCAGTTTGGTGAAGTGAAGGTGTGGCAAGTTACTGCCTGCATCTATAAGCATACATACTTCATTGGACGATGGCTCGAGAGCGACTAGTTGTATTTTAATCTCGACAATGAATCGCATGCGTGGGGTAGACGGGGGGTAAGGCGATTTTAGACAATGTGGAAGGATCTGTGCGTTTGCGTTGCATCCTCCTTTAAAGCATAAAGTAATCCCGAGCTTCATAATCCGATATTTCCTATTCAATGATCTGTTGGAATGCAGTACTGGAATGTAAACACAGACCAGATGAGTCGCTTAGTTACCAAAATGACACTGTATCTGTTATACTTCCCTCCAGGTGGGACTACGACAAGAATCCAGTGGATTTCTTTAAGGTCATTTTTGACCTTGCTAACATAAGTGTAGACGAGGAGTTCTTCAACCTCGGAGGATCCACTCTGCGACCTTCCATTGGTGATGTTATGACGCCTTCTGAAATAACTCCGCCTCCACCACCCTCAAAGCAGGTAGAGTTCGGGTCGTTCTCTACACATGCCTAAACATGAGCCTTACTGAATCTGTCTTACATCCGGGTACCATTATCTCTACCCGTTATTACTGATAGTTTTACAACTTAGTTTTGGAGTACTTTATTCATTCTTCTCGGTAGTAAACGTAGCTCAACCACTTTTGAACCTCTCAATCGTGGCAATGGCATACACCTTCTATCGATGGTAATCAGAGTATGACGGACGCTGTTCCTCCCTTCTTAGATCCTTCAATCGCATAGTATAACTGGTAATCATTGAATCACATGAACGGGACGACGTGTCACCGATTTATGTTGATCGGAACCTGCGAAAGTCAACCAGTTCACATAGCTGAATTGCAATTGAAAGATGTGTATCGTCCTCTTATGTAGCCCTACCTTGTGGTCCTTATTTACCACTTACGAGCTAGGCACGGAATTCATGCGGTAACAATGCCATTAAAACAAGAAGCCATTTTAAAAAGTGATGCTGCTTACCCACTGGGAGAGATTATTAGTTACCCTCTCTTTGCCTAAAAGTAGAACCACTCGATAAAACACACTATACTAGATAGCTTCAGGGAGCTATTTTTGACACCTGAAAATAATATAAAAGGTCTAAATGCCTCGTGTACATAAATTGCCCTAGCCCTCCTACTTCTCTTTACTCTCAGGCACAGACGAACTTCCAGATCAGTGTTATTGGCGGAGCCAGTCAGGACGTGCCACGGATCTTCCCCATAGCAGAGTCCTATCTCCGCTCCACCGGTCATATCGCCGTCTGGGGTTTCGTTGACTCACGAGAAACCTACTGGCGCACACTGACCGATTGTGACGTGGTCGTGTCTACTGCAAAGCATGAATTCTTCGGTGTAGCAGTGGTGGAGGCAGTTGCAGTGGGCTGCGTGCCCCTCTTACCCCATAGATTAGCCTATCCCGAGTTGTTAGCGCACGAACCAACACCATCGAAGTGTCTCTACCGCACATTACCTCAAATGCGGAAACAGCTGAAGTGTTGGATTGGCGCACCGGACAGGCTACGGGAGCGGGCGACCAAAGCACTACTGGCCGCTTATGGTTGGAAGGGAGCGGGAACGGAAGCGTGGCTAAGAAAAGGTGTACTTTCGCATGACGGTTTGAGGCAAGAGTACTTGAGGCTCTTTGGCGTCGGGTAATCTTTAGAAGAAGAGCGGTCTGTGTATACTTATGCTGTGAATTGGGAAGTGTTTACTGCGCCAATCGAGGCAAGATGGAATCGTGCTACATAGGTTAATAGCTGTTGGTGGGGGTGTTCACTCTTTTAATGAAGCCAGGGCACCTAGTAGTTAGTCGCCGGGTGGGAGGTGGCGAGCCGGTGCGTGTTTCTGGTGCTTCGTGATAGTTGTGACGCGCAGGTTGCTTGACGCTGGGGGGGGGGCGTCCTTTGCGTTTTGGTTGGTGTACGTGCGCCGTGTGAGCTAGCCTCGGCCGTGCCAGTAACTTTAGAGCCTTCTAAACGTTAAGTGTACAAGCATTCCGTTTCATTAATGTGCATTCTATCGTTCGCGTGGAGGCTCCGCAGTGCTGGGTCGTTGGGGTCTAGATGCGTTAATACAGCTCGTTCGGTAAGAAAAAGGTTGGGTGAGATTTTATGTAGTAGGTGGAGGTGGATGGATTAGGCTCCTTGCTTACCATAGTAATTCTTTTGTGTAGTGCGGTATACTTTAGGAAATTGCGTACGCAGCAGATATGTTTGCGTGCTGTGCGCTAGTATATATTTACATATTTTTACGTATTTAAATCGAGATACCTTAAATTTAGCATTGCAAGTTCTGGATAATTATGTAAAGAGAAACCCTATTATGTGGTTAAAGATACCCTTGAATGACATTCAAACTTAATTGGCCGGGTTTTGTCCAATAGAAATTACATGAGTAACAGCCGTTCCTTCTCTGTCATTTAGCCTCGTGCAATGGAACTTTTGAGGGGGGCTTGTATTCCCCAATGCAGTGATTTTCCACCGCCTATTTCGACGATTCAGCAAGCAAACGTATCTAACATTCAAAGCTTTCCTGCTCAGGGCGGTAGCCCCATTGTACAGATGGACAATCCCAATCCCTTCTCAAGTATTGTTTTGAAACAGGAGGAGCCTTCCCCTTCCTCCATCAGTGCTCTCTTTACCGGTGATTTTACTCAGCAGCAGCAGCAACCTAGCTCATCATCCTCTACTGCAACATCAAATGATGCTCCGGTGCAAAAAGGTCACGCATGCGATGTTTGCCACAAGGTTTTTGCGGACGTGGGTTCTTGCCTTTCAAATTAAAATGCTTTTCGCTTAAATTCCCTAGTCAAGTCTGTCTTTCGTTTAGCGTTCGCTCTTATCCAAGCACAAAATTGCTCACGCCGAGGCTAAACACATTTGCAATACCTGTGGTCGCGCCTTCGTGAGGGAGGACAAACTTCGACGTCACTTTCGATCGGTTCATAGCAATGAACGACCGTTTGTTTGTGAAGTGTGCAACAAAGCCTTTGCTCGAAAGTAAGTTTCAGACAGTCTATCCCCCCTTATCTTTTTTTTAAAAATCTCGAAGTTAGTCGCTTTTTAATGCAGGGATAAGCTCCAGGAGCATGCAAAACACCACAACAAAGATATCACTTTTCCCTGCACTGTATGCAATGAAGTCTTTCTCATGCGATCCCTCTTAAATCGCCATCTTCGAACGGAGCATCAAATTAAACAGACAGCTGAGTCCTCACGAAACCCTGCAAGATCACAGGACGGTAAGATATCGTTTCTGTGTGGCGTGATTATGTTCTTCCTAGGTTCGAAAAAGAAACGTAGTAGGGCACAAGAGGCAGATTTTACTAAGTTAGCCATGGAAAATGCAACTGTGGGAATAACAGCTGCAGCAGCATCTGCCGTAGCCCCGACCACTTCCGGTTTCTACCAGCACCCGGGCTGGAATGCGGCCAACCTTCTGCTTTACAATCGTTACCAACAGAGTCAGCAACAGGCTGCTCAACCAGCTTTTGACTTTTGGGGTGGGAATAATGGCTACTTTTATGGTCAGCAGTACTCTGCTGCTGGCTACCAGTTCCCCACCATCCAGTACGCAGCTGCAATGCGACAGCACCAACAGCAGCAGCAGCAGGCAACGCAACAAGCCACAGTGTCCTCGGGTTTGTCCTACAACCCGGCTGCTGCAGCGGCTCTAACCGCTCGCCTTTTCTCTCCTGGCAACTACTTTTGGCCACAGGTGAGTATATCCCCTTCCTTAGGTGCGACTTCAATTTCGGCAGACGTTTAATTTGCCGGTCTTTTTATTTTCGCTTCCAGCCGAGTCAGGGTTTTGTCCTCCCTCAGGCCGGTACGGCGTCGACGAACTCCGCCGCCGCCACGACCTCCCTCATTCCCACTGCTAATCCATACTTTCCTGCACCTTTGACGGCAGCAACAGTGACTACAACAACAGCAGCGGCGGTAACCACAGATGTGACCGCGACCACGGCAAAAACAGTGGTGACCGAAGCGGCGCCGAGTTCCGTCCAACCACAGGTGATTTTTGACGTGGGACCCAGCGGCTACTCTGTGCAATCAACTGCGTCCACTGCATCCTCATCTTCCTACCAAACAGCGTACTACCAGGCGGCATCGTTGGCTGGTTCGGAGGAAGCTGTCTCCACAACTGCTGCTCCACCACGCCAACAGCAACAACAGGCGACCGACCCGGGGACCGCCCCCGCCTTCGCCTACACTAACTAGATGTCTTCTATCTCCCTTCTCCTCCCTTTATCTGTTGCATTTTTAACCCACTTCACATCTAAGGCATTTATGGCCGGGAAGCTTTTATACTAAAACTATCACCTTTTATCCATTTTGATACTCGTGACAAGGTCTATGTAGAATTGGGACACCGGCCTGGGACCTATTTCTACTCCTGTTAGTTGTCTTGAATTTTATGAGACGGACTCACCATTGATGTATGTAAAACATGTGGAAAGTAAATTAATGTGCTGGAGCATACATGTTCATTCTACGGGTTTCTACTTGTTCTTGTCAAACATGGGGTCACGGCGGTAGTGGAGTTTCGGTGAGGTAACGACGTCTTCCCAGTTGTCAGGTAGGTCGTCGTCGGTGTTTCTGAGGCGACGCTCGAGACGGGCCTCATCAAAGGTCTTGGTGGGAGTTGCGGAGGCGCTGGAAAGGCGGTCCTGACTTCGCAGTCTCGATTCTAAACCGAATCCAACGAAGCCTACGATGGCGGCAAAGGGCAGGGCGATGTAGGGCGTGTATACGCGGATGAACTGGACAATTACCGGCCACATTGAACTTTTAGATGGAGGCAGATAAATTACGTTTTGCGTAGAAATGACCGTTCCTAGCAATTAAAATTAGAGGCCATAGACGTTGTAACAAGCGATACTACGAAAGCTAAACGTGGTGATTAGTTAAAAAGTCAAATGACCCACTCCAATCTTGCAACCATAACGTATAATGCTTACGACGCAGACGTAGGCTAGTGGCGATAGGCTATCGTGTCGCATCATCCGCAACAAATTCTTTTGTGTAATGCTGCCCCAAGAAAAATGTAAATTTTTGATTATTAAGGGAAAGTTGGGTTTCTGTGTACTAAAGTTAAACTAAAAGTATTAGAAGATCGGGAATTATTCTGTACATGATGTGCATTAAAGGTCACAGCTTCTTCAGTGAATCCATTTGCAGAATGGTCGCAAATTTTGAGATAAAGGCACAAAATACACTTTTCAGGCCAAATCTCACGATTTATTAAGTAATTCTTGGCCAAAACGCGGTTTTTTTAAAGTGGTTAATCGAATAACTTTTATTCGAAGCATTTTACTTGGGAAGATCTTTTCATTTAGACACCCGTGAGCAGGTGTACCGACTGATGGACGGCTGGTTATTGGATAAATAGACATCGCCAAAATGGATATAAGATCGGTAGATAAAGGATGGAAAGATGGATGAATGAATAAATGTGTGGGTGGATGGATGGTTGCTAAAATATGTTGGCTGTTTGTTTTGCTAAAGGGCCACTTTGTCTTGGCCATTGGTCCTCAGCGGGTAGACCTGCCCCCGTGCAATGCCAGTAGCCCTAAATGGCTTCTGTGTGCAGAAAACACACTTATTCTTTCTAATTTTTTTTTCTCTATCAGGGAACTCCTCACTCGAAGGCGGTGGGCACCACTTTGTCAACTTTGGAGCACTCCGGGTTGGGAAGAATTCCTTCTCATTGAACCGTATTATTCGCCCGTTTCTACATCCCTTATTTGCATGCGAATAGTTCCTCATACCGCCAAGCTTTACTTAAGCGCTTTCTTATCTCTAAAAATTGAGCCATATCCGAAAATATCCTTACAAGCGTTTGAAGCCTTCGCAAACAGGCAAGGACTCTCCTCTGTTATCCCCATGGATATCAGATCTAGAGGCTTCCGTTTGGAATTCATTTAAATCACGATTGAGTCAATGATCTCGTACATGTCCCTTCTTCCAATGGCTGGCATCCAAAAAATAAGCATTTTACTGTTTTAGACTATCGGTGAAGGGGATTGCCCTTTGCTGGGTCTTTTAAATCTTTCAATGGTCAAGAAGATGGCGTGAATACAAAGTTCTCCCAAGATGGAAAGAGATTGCCGAGCAAGAGGATGTGAAGAGCATTTTTACATAAGGGTAACCACAAAAACGACCTGTAAAATCAGCAAATGTTGACTGTTGACTGTTACAAGGTTATTAGGAAAATTATGAAACAGTGCCTCATGCAAGAGGAGTCGGTGGAACATAATGTGGAATTTTTCAACTGCTGATCTGCCAAGGCATCACCATCACATCACCAAGTAGATTTCTACGTGGATTCTATTTTTCATGTGTTCAGATCTCTGATAATTTATCAGGAAAGCGGTGTCGCACCATGGCGATACTGCCGAGAGTACAAAATATGTCAACATTCACCATTTAGCAGGTGACAAGCGAACTGTCTTATGGAAGGTGTAAAAACACCACACTACTACTTCCTGGTTGTACAGACGACTTTTAGGGACACCAGTAGAACGCTTTGTAGTCAAACACATGAGTAATGTAAACACTCCACTGACAGATGGTTGTGCGCCAGGAGCCCGGTGACGCTCCTGACCGTGGTGGATTCCACCTGATCTACGTGAGCATTCAGCAAGTGTAACGCCTCAAAAATTGTGAATACTATCATTTACGAGGGTTCGCAACTTGGGGAAGTTAATTTTTGATTCGAGTATCCAGGCCGGTTTAGTCGTACCGTCAAATTACCCCTTGTTAAAGCATCAGGGCACTGATTGTCCCATTTTGACTGGAACGCCGACTTAACAATACAGTCAAGCCAACGTAAAGCAGTGTTGTGGAATTATTTTATACCCAGACAAGGTCCCAAACGTAAATATGAAAATCTTGGTCATTTGCCAAGGTACAATTTGGTACTGACTCATGGAACAGATATGAACAGTTATGACAGGCTGATTATGTAGAATCTCCAGAGGGGGTGGCGTGAAGCTGACCTTTTGTCAGGCATGTCAAAACTCAGCTATGTATTTGTAAGACGTTAAACCGCCAGATGTGGCAGTGTTCTCAAGAGGTGACTCTTAATCTCCCTTTCCACTAAATCCACCAAACACGGCATCTGAGTTCCTGGAATCGTGGAAACCGCAGCAATACTTGAACGCAGACGCACGAAAATCTCAATTTTCATAGTTGTATAAATTTGGCGACCCAATGTTACGTAATTTCAAGGAGAAGACCTCAAATACACGCTTCTTTTTCTTGGGGAGGTTGGGGGGGGGGGGAGTTGATATTTAAATATAGCCTCCCCAGTGCCAGTGTACGGTTTCTCTAGGGTTTTCTGTGCTGGCTATCATATGTGAATAATCACTCAAGTTTACTTTACCCAACAGTAAAATACGACTAGTGGCAGGTGAATTTGCTATCGTGAGTCAAATCCACCTGCAAAATGGGATCATTAAAATAAGCAAGCAAAGTTTGTGCTAGGCATCAAACTGTCTCTGAAACAAGGAACTAGCTCTTTGAGGTAATTGTGAATAAAGGAAAGGACAAGTCCCGTTGTTACATTTGCTATCTGCGTCATACATATACTACGTTCCAGTACGCCTACCTAAACCCGCACGTCACACATGTGTGACATATAGAATTAGGTGATGGTAATTGTAAAGCTCCCTTTGAGATAGGCTCTTACCTTAAGATATAGTAAAATATCTCAAAAGGTGTGGATATTCGAGGTCTTTTAATGCTGGATTAGGATCAGAAGTCCCCCCATAAGCTGCAAAAATGCCCCGTCAAAAGCGGTTGTTGATTTCCCCTTAAGGTGACCTTTTAATAGAGGCATAAATATCTCATCAAGAGTTTGAAAGTTCACGTAAAATCAGAGCTATAATAAACCCTGTGTTCTTTGTAGGTAGCACTACACGTGTAATCAAAGATATGAATACACACCTCCTTTCAAATCGTCGATGATTCCGAGGTACCGGGTCCCCCACAAAGTTGGTTTATCGACCAACCGGATGACTTTAACATGATAAATAAAGTCTCGCTATTATGCTTTTGTTTTAAGCACAATTTCATGTACACAGTTGCGATTCCTTGCATGTACATCTTTGAAGTACATCACGAGAGATGATCCAACTGTTCTAGCATGTGGAATAATACTTCCGTGGTCCTGGAAATGCATAAATACCAGTGGAAACCTCGATATTTTGTACTTTTTCGCAGAAGCACCCTATTCTTTTTATGTAAGAATTTCATTTATATTTTACACTTATTCTGTGTTTGGACTATGTTCCAGCTATTATCATTTATTGTTTGAACACTGCTTCCATTTTCCTGCCTATTTGACTGAAAAATGGTGTTTTATTTTCTTTTGTCACTTTACTCGCTGTAAGTATCGATTTTTAGGGGTATTCTATGGGCCCCTTTTCACCGGTTAAATCGGAAGTAGCCTTCCCTGTAACACCACCAACCAACCAATCAGCACTTTAGGTGACCTCAACGCCTTAGCTGATTGGTCCGCTTGCGTGGTGAGAACATAGAGGCACCGCTAAAGCCGGTTAACTGACTAAGACGTCACCTTTGTTGCATTTCCAGGATTATGTGATGAAAAATGGTTTTTCTTTATAAAGAGGGGGAACATGTCGCACTTCTAAAATACACATAAATCATCACCAGCAGCATTCGATGGTAGAAGACTATGTGGTGCTGCGTTTATGTTTGGCCCACGATTATTTTGGAAATTAAGGCACTGAAAGACACCTTAGTTACCCAAATCGGATAGATAGATGTTTTCACTATGAGAATTACTTACACTTGTAAAAAATTTTCATCATTTAGAGTTTCAGAATGCCCGAGATTTTGAAAATCATATCCCGCGTGAGTTGACGTTTTCTCAATTAATTACAATAAAATCTATGCTATTTTGTGGTGCCACTTAAACTCACCAACGCTGCTTATTTATCTATTTATTTATTTCTCTCCTTTCGACAAACATGATGCCGCCACGAGACCTATCAAGGAGAGTTGGACTTACTGGAGTATAGAGGGGTCGGGGGAAGAAAATTTCGCTATCGCGAATAAGACGTCTCGTTCGTTTATTGAGTCAACCCTTTTAACCGATGTTACAAAGTCCGGTGACGGGGTTCTGAGACCACCAATTATTATGACGTCCGAGGGGTTGCAACACACAGCCCCCAGAGTGAGTCATAACTAAGGGGTGAAGGGTTGAGGTCACGATTAGTCAAGCGCGCACACACGCGCAGAGGATTGGCCAATGCTCAACTAGTAGTATGAGGCTTTAACAGAAGTTGACATCACCTCCTAACCGCTATTATTATTTTTTTGATACCTAAAACGTATTAAGGCACAATTAGAACACGCCATAAAACGGAGTTACAGTCAGCCTGTCGTGATTCTTGTGACCACGACAAACTGCTTTGCATGCTGTTTTGCCGAAAGCTCTATCAAATCGAGAGCCGAACGATCTCCTCACGCATATTATGCTATACTGGATGGTAGCAAATTCCCGGTAAGAACCTGATTGTTTTATTAAGCCTTATTATCGTACAGCCTAACCTACTAATGCAAAATTTTGCAAAAGAAGAACAGTTATTGATAAGAATGCATTTTCCCACGATAATGAAAACAAAATTATACGAAGGCCGAACTCAGAACTCGTGTCATTATGTCTTTATAAGCACAAGCGAAATTAACATTTTACTGACAAAACTTCAGTAGTGCCTTTTAAATCAAACTGCAGCTTATGAGAGACAGCTTTACATACAAACTTTTACGTGATCAAATAAGGATGCCATCAAAAATTAAAGAATCCACTATATTACTTTGCTTGGTGCATTTTAGGATGTGGTACAGCAATTTAGAATTGAGTACTATCCAGCGTACCTCCTGTTTCGCCATGGAAAATTACAAAAATCGACGTCTGGAATAAACGCGGAGGGGGTTGACGCTTTTTTCAATTCTTTCTAACTGAGTCCGTGTCTGCACATAAATGTACTGTCTTCAGGTCTAAAAATATAGTTAAACAGTGGCTACTTTTATGGCTTATTTGACCATTCAAGGGATAAGGCACTGTGAGCCGTGCACTCATCCCAAAATGAATCTCTCCCCGAATCAGCTTTAACACAAATGCATGGACTCTAAGAGAGTGATCTATCTGAAATGATTCCACAACGGTAGTGGATAACAAAAACAACCTGAAAGATAGTCCACGTGGAGGTGTAGTCACGTTTATCCTAGGTGAATGGTAAACAAGCATCTATCTAATCAAAGCATTAATCTCAGCAAAACATCTCCTCCAAATAAACTTTCAGTTCGTGTCCGCATCTTCATGCATAAAAATGGCAACATAAACCCCGGAGACAAATGATAGCCAAAATGAATCTGTCATGGTGGTCTACTGTAGCATTGCTAATTTTTACGGCTAGTAATCACTTACTTCACCGTGAAAGGCTTTACGTTCAACATCTAGTGCAATGCCCTCAAGCAGATCCAGTGGTCCAGTTCAACTGAAAGGCCTATTGAAAAATCAGATCAGAAAATTATCCCGTCAGCGACCCATCTAGGCAGCTTGTAAGCAAGTAAGTAGCTCTTTGAGAGAGGAACGTAGTACGCTCTCTTGAGACAGGTATTTGTTGTGGTCAAAAGGGAATCATAAAGTTTCAGGACCAACAAAAGGAAATGTGATGGTTTCCCAACAAGGGGAGAAGAAATTTTACCCAAATCGCTTCAATTCCATTGCACCACATCAAACTACATCGTAATCGGTCCTAGTAATTTCAAATTAACAAGAATAAACTCGACTACGAGCGCAGTGTTGCATCATGACAGAATTAAATGGATCTCCCAATTGTAACCACTTTGCAAACAGCAGTGCGGGTGATTGTTGTGGCGGGTAAGTTTAAATGGATATCGGAAGGGGAATTAATTAACTTGCGTCGCTCAACACTGGCTAATCTAAACGGCGACTGCTGTCTAACAAACCAATCAGTACTTGTCCAAGCATTTCATAAAATGCATAACAAAGAGTGACCTTTTACAGACAAGTTTGCTTATCGTCATCCCGTCTGGTCACTCCGCCTCCATTTCAGTACTGCACATCTCACCACCATCTGAGTCACCTCTCGATTCTGGCAACGTGGAGGAAGTACCACTTCCTCATCATTCACAATCAGTTGACAAGGGTGTGGTAATCCTGTTTCACTTCGACAGTCGTCGCTCTGCGGAAACGAATAAGAGGTTGAAATGGTCAGCCCATGTTGTGTGAGACTGCATGCGCTATTCCATCCACAAGTGATGTCCGCCTTCTCTTCCACTCCATTTCATTCCC